TATATTTATTTTATTACATAAATTTATATTTATTTTATTACATAAATAAATTTGCATTTATTATCTAAAATAAATTTAAATAAAAGACGATGGAAATCATAGTGGAAATTTCCTCATGGAAATCAGAAGAAACACCTTCGATGTTTCGATCCTATCTGAATAGCTCCAGCTCAACAGCGGGATAGAATCAGCAGAAAAACAGGCTAATTCAATCTGGGTATGATTCTGGGAAGTGAAAACATGCCTTTCTGAACAAAAAACCAAAACAAACAATGACTGAATCTGGAATAGGCAAAGACAGCCTTTTTGAAAAAGGGGGCATCATTTCACCTTCAAGTTCACGTGGATAGGGAGAATTGCTGGGGAGACTAGATCCAGGTATAGTTCTGATCAATAAGAAAAAAAAGCTTAAATTTCACATAAAAAGAATCTTAGGTAACATTTCAATAAATTCTACTTTGTGGATGAATTCATTTTTCTTCCTAGCCCTCGGACAATACCTATAAAGTTCACTGGGCTTTTCTCCCAATTGGTGGCTGGCATCATTGCAAAGAGACCACTGGCAGCCTTCATATCCAGCTGCAGAACAAGGACAGAGAGGTGTGAAGGCAAGAGTCCTGGGAGACAACAGAACATGGAGCACAGTGGGCCTGCCTGGTCTATATCTGTAGGATGCTAAGTAGGGAGCAGAGAGGGAGAGAAACAGAAAAGGTGGGACCACGCGTGGACTGTGACTATAGTCATACACCCTGGTTGTCCTGCAGGATATCAGGACAGCCCTGCTGCCCCACCCTCACCAGCAAAGTGGAGGCAAGCTTGAGGCTAAGGCCCCTCTCTCTACAGAGCCATTCAGACATGCAGAGATGGTGAATAACAAGGCAAACGCCAGGTTCAGGTAACAACCGTGTCAGAAGGAAGCTGCAGGGCACCAGGAGGACAGCGCCACGGGGCTGAAGCCAGAGGATCCAAGTCTCAATCCCAGCTCTGCTCATGCCCACCTATGTGGCTTTGGCCAAGCCATTTCCGTCCATTCTAATGATTGCTCTAAATTAACTTATCCAACAGGAGAGAAGGGCCAGGGGCCAGGGAAGGGCTTTATGAAACGCATGATGTGAGATGTCTAAGGAGAGTGGCAAGTGAAGAGAAAGCCTTTACAATGTCAGTAGACAAAACTTCACCCTCTCCCACAATTCCACAGTAAGGAAGGGACTAAGCCTTGCTAAGCTCTATGGAGAGAAGAAGCAGTCTCCTGTCACTGGCAGGAGGTGGCCGCAGAGGAGGCTGGCGCACTCCCCCCGCCCCGCCCCCGCCCACTCACTCACTTGGTCAGCTGTCCCTTGTTCTTGTTGTTGTCCACACCGTTGTACGTCACGGCCGCGAGCTTGCGGCTCCGGTAGTTCTCGTAGTGCACGTTGTTGGTGACATCCTTCAGGTCCTGCATGTGGGTTCTGTCACGACAAAGAGACCGCCAGTGACGTGGGCTCCGGCTCTCAACAGACATCCCAAGCATCTGCAGACCCAGACTGCCCAGACCCTTGCTTTTAACAATGACTGAGCCTGGCTTAGCGGAGCTGGAGAGGGCTCTGCTCTGGAGGCTCGGTCTCCTCGACCCAAGCCTGCCGAGCAGCCTCACTAATCTGAAGTATTTCTTTCGTATTTTGGGATCGATATCAATGTTTTTAAATTCTTAAATTCCTAAAGAGCAGATTTTTTTTTCTATTTCCTTTACCTGCCTTATGCACTTCTGAGCTTCCTTCCCAGCTGGAACCCCCACCTTCTGCAGGAAGCCTTTCTCAGTCCTCCATCTTAGTGCCTGCCTTCCGAGACTACGCCTAATTCAACTGGTCTGTAGCTGGTTTGTCCACAGCTGTTTGCATGCAGCCTGCCCCCACGAGACTGGGAGGGATCGCTGAGAGCAGGGACTATCTCTGACCTCTCTTTGTAGCCCCAGCACAAAGCAGATGCTTAATAAACGCTAGCTTTCTGAATGATGAAAATACAGGGTCACAGAAAAGCAGTGCCAGATGTCTGTCATTGAATATCGCCAAAAAAGCCCAAACCATCCTCCACATTTAATGTTTTCTGCCCTCTGGAAGCCAGCTGGTTAAAGGAAGAGCCTGACCTCTGACCAGAACCCAGAAAGAAGCCTTCCAATACAGCACTGGCCACATCAGTGCCATGTGGGGCCCCCACTGAGCCCAAGGTTAATCACCTCAGCTTCTGAATTCTCCTGCACATCCTGGCATCAAGCTCAAGGCCATCTCTGCCCTGGCCTCACTGGCTGACACCCATGACTCCCACTGATCCTGGCACCGCTGAGGCAAGGCTAGCCAAGTGCCCCGAGTCAGGAGCTGACAAGGTTACACGTCTGTGTACAAGGCAGGAGATCATTTGGGCACCCTCAGTCAGTGAAGTAGGCAAGCACTACTGGCTAACTCTGACTGACTGTATTCCTCCACAGTGAACGTCCCTGCTATACATTAGAAAGGGAGATGAAGACCACATCCTCTCACGCTGGCTCATGGCATTAGAATATCTGAGAGGATGGAGGTGGGGTGAATCACCCAACTTAAAAAGGCGACTGCGAAGATCAACACCGGCCATCTCAAACGTTCCTACTCTCCCGTCTAAAATAACCTGCATGAACACATGAAGAGCATCCTTGAAGTCTGAGAATAAAAGAGCAGACAGCCATCTTTTCAATCTAGTTAAAGGGAAATGGAGAGGATATGAGAACCCATTGTGCATGCGTGGGCATTCAATCTGGTAGGGCAAAACACCTTAAATGCCCACAAGACTCCTCTCCCCATGCCCATGTCAAAAACCTGCTGCTGTCACACAGCACTGGCTATTGATGCCAGGCAAGGCATAAGACAGGCAAGTGCAAGCCTGGCAAAGGGATTTATCACCATCTTGGTGGAGTCTCAATGGGAAAAGGACTCCCTGAAGATGGGGAGGTTCCCCAGATTCCCCCATCTTTAGGCTGTCACTGTGGTGACCTCATGGAGCTGATTAGCCTGCTAAAGGAGTTGGGCCTATGTAGGCACAAAAGGCAGAAACATGGATGGTGAGGCAGCTAGGTGGCGCAGTGTATAGAGCAACAGCCCTGAAGTCAGGAGGACCTGAGTTCAAATCTGGCCTCAGACCAAACACATGACACTTATTAGCTGCGTGACCCTGGGCAAGTCACTTAACCCCAACTGCTTTAAAAAAAAAAAAAATGGATGAAGAATGCTTCAGCAACCGAGCTGATCCACCCGCAGGACAAAGGTTCTGGATGGACCGTGAGCTGGACCCGCCCAAAACTGAGGAGAATACCACCTTTGGGGAAAGTGCTTTTAATGACAAGGGCCCATCTTTTTAACAATTCTTCCAGTGGAGCCACAGAGATGTAAATCCTGGAACCAACAATGAAAGCCTAATCACCCAATGGACAACAGTGGTTGTGAGCAGTCTGTCAAATATGACCCATGAGTTAGGCAAGAAAAATAGCTTGAAGGGCAGGTCCCACCAGGAGATGAGGGGACAACGGAAGGACAGGCCGCCTGAAGCGGCATACACCTCCTGTGAGGAGGGTGCCTGGCCACTAGGGGGAGGACATGGACAGAGCTAAAGAGAAGCTATCTGGGAGCTGTGATCTGTACCCAAATTGAGGAGCTCATAAATCTCTAACTCTGAAGTTCCAAAACTCTAGTCAATCTACTCTATTAGACTTAGATAAAGTCCCCAGCACTGCTTTCCTGTGGTTTAGATGGAAGAGACCTTGGACTCCAGCAAGTCCAAAAGGCACCTCAACACCAGTGCTCTCTCTAACCTATCTCAGAGCCTTTGCCCAGAGCTCTAAGGGGATACCCACTATCTCCCCAAACAGTGCTTTCAGGATCACTAGCTGCTTGCATCAATGTTAAGTCTACCCCTCTGCCACTTCCATTGCCCCTCTGCCCTATGTTCTTGCTCCTGTCCCATCGTGTCTGACTCTTCGTGACTCCATTTTGGGGGTTTTCTTGGCAAAGACGCTGGAACAGTCTGCCGCTTCCTTTTCCATCTGACATCCTTTTCAAATACCTGCAGACAATGATCAGGTGCCCTCTTCCTCTATTCTGGTTTTGCTGCCTAATCTTCAGATGGCATGACCGCAAGTCCCTTCCATATCCCTTTACTGTTACCCTTTTGCTCTCCCGCTGATCATTCCTAAAATACAGTGCCCAGATCTGAACACATCATCCTCAGGGAAGTCTAACCAGCACAATGCAGTGAACGCTTCTCTACTCCTGAGAAAAATATGAACGTTCTTGGTAGCAAGAGAGCACTGCTGCCTCTTACTGAGCTTTCATTTCACTAAAGCCCTCACTCACTCGGCTTCTTGGGACACACCAATCGAGGCCTCCAACTGAGCTGACACTGACCTTTCAATGCCTAATCACTCTTGGGAGTCCAGCCACTCAGACGGCTCTGAATCAGTCTAAGTGTACTAAGCCACATCTCCACAAGAACAAGTCATCAAATGCTTTGCTCCGCTCTTGACAAACTATATCTGCAGTGCTCTCCTGACCATGGTATATCCCTGGCAAGATTCCAAGCCTGGGTCCAGACTCTTGGCCTGGGAACACTGAAAGGGCTGTGGCGTTTCTCCAATCCAATCCAATATTCAATTCTGGGCTCACTATCCCTCTGCAAGGCATAACCATCCAGGAGTTGCACCAATGGCCCAACTGACCTGTCAGTCCAAACAATAAGCATGCTCCACCTATTGCTAAGCTGATACCCTCTAAATGGTCAAGGAATTTAAAAAACCCACACAAGCCGTATAGTATTCTGGGTCTCGATGAAATTGGCACAATTCTAACAACAAGGAGGAATATCCGAAAGGTTAGCAGAGACACAGTGGTTCTCTTCCCTTTGAACTCCGCCGAGGACACATTCTCCATGACGGAGGGGATGGAGGGGAATGCTCCGGGTACATCAACACATGGCCTTGTTTTATGTCCTTGGTAACCAGAGGGCTGTGACAGCTATCTTGTGAACATCAACGTGATTAACAATTTGTTGGAAGAAGGCCTCAAAGGGGCAGAGGACCCATGGAACAGAGACTGGAGCGCTATCTCTGGCAGGTCACTGAAGCATCAGTTAGAACAGAGACGCTGTCTAGTCCAGCCCTCTCATTTTATACTTGATGAAAGAGGCCAAGGAGGACAGGCAGGTAGAAGGGTTCTGTCTCCAAATGAAGCCACCAAGGTTTCCACATGGCTGTTTTCCTAGGATTAACCTACTTGAGTTCTAAAGAGTTCCTTACCAGAATACTGCATAAAGACCAGTGACTTAAGGGGTTCCACTGGGCCCAAAGACGAAGGTCTCAGACTAAGGAAGAAAGTCACAGATCTCAAGTTTTCAACTTCAACACAGAAAAGGTACAACTGGCTGTCATCCAATGATCACATCACCCACTTACTCTTTCACCAGGCTACTTTTCTTGTCATAACTAAACTGGGTCTCTTGGGGCAGAGATCACAACATCTCTCTACAATTAACATATACTAATTAACAGTACAGTAAACCACAAGCACCATCCCCATTTTTAATACAACTGATATTTGGAGAAGTCGGCCCCTTAGGCCTTTCCAGCTTTTTAAATAAATCTGTTTAAATTCCGTGTTACTGTTCATACTTACCTTATCAACATGTTTCTTAGAATTGTGAAATCACAATGGTCACCATTTTCAACTGCAGGAAAAACACAGAATACACCAAGTAAATTCACTTAGGAATACTAAGCTTTCCCAACAATAACTCTCAATATCCCGATCAAAAACACAATGGTTAATAGTAATTTTTTTAAACTAAGGACCTCCCACGGGTCTATGCTCACAACTTGAGAGCACTGTTCAAGTGGAAGGAAATAACGTCGTTTCCTCTGCTCTTCAATGACAGACAAGCTATGATGACGTCAAATGTCCTCTGGCTTTCTCATACCTTAAGTCCAAAAATGTCAAAAGGCAAGTTAAACCTGATACTCTTCTTTATACATTTTCTGGGTTGGCAGAGAACGGCGTTACTCTGAATGCATTTTTCATCTTGGGAACGGAACTTAATTTTCCCCAAAATGGCCACTGAGATGTTATGGTATCGGTCACACAAGACCCCAGCATCCAAAAGGACACAGCTTTTGAAGATGCATACCCAAGATGCTTTAATTCAATCAGTGCCAGGGCCACCTAAGAGTACCCTAGTCATGGCTCCTGCGTCATAATGTGCAAATATATCATAACCAATCAACATCAGTAATGAAACCTCATGTGACCAACCGCCCATTTGTAACATTCTTCCTATGTCTCTACCCCCCTAAAACGTGCTTTTACCTAACATCATGCCAGGCCATATTTGAACAGAAATAACGTTAGCTAGAATATGGCTAAGGATGATGATGCACCCTCCTAATGGCACCTAAGATATTGGGAGATGCTTGAAACTGCCTGATCTCCATCCCACTCCCAACTTCTCCACACAGACCCCACTGCACTTGGGCAAGCTCACGTGCCATTCGTTCATTTCCTGCCAGGCATATGCTTCAGTAAAAGCAGACATTTCCCCTTACCGTACATCAGGCTACGTTTTGTTTTGTCATTGCCATTTCATATGGTTTCATTCTCTCAGACAAAAGAAGGGCAATTTACTGCTTCTTCTCAGTGTAAGTTCAGAGAGGGAAGAAAAGCAGAAGAGGATTCAGTGTCCTTTGTTACAATTTAAACAATCTTGAAGCTTCCTTAAGTGGATGACTAACCAATTAACACGCAAAGACTGCAGGCTGAAACAGTCAAGGTGGGGCGTGGCTCTAGAGGGGCCGGTCCCTGGGGATGTGAACCGGCAGCAAAGCCTTTCTGTAGATTTAAGGGGAAGAAGTTACACTTCGAGGGGTCCGTGACCCTCTTGCTAGATAAGCACCCCAGCTCTGTTTTCTCAAGTTCTGATACCACTTTGAACTGAACTCCAAATAAAAGAGCATTTCCATAGGCATAGAACAGAAGAAGAGGATGGCACATGAAATTGTTCCCCTCTAGTCTGGACAGCTTGCTTCTCTCGTTAAAATACATAACACATTCAACATGAAGCTTTCAAAGTTGTCCTATCAGTGATTTATTTCCACCTTCCTTCTGGCGGATTGTCTTTTAAAGTAGGTATTTCAATGACTTCTTTTTTCCCTCTTCCTTTCTTCAGGGGAGAGGCAACCCCAGCCGTAACCTACTTTTCTCCCTCCCGACCTTCCCCCCACCATCATAAAAAGCAGAAACCAACAAATCTTGGGGTAATACAGCTCTGCAGCGCTTTGTTACCTCATCTGACACTCGTTCTACAGATAAGGACACCAAGGTCAACAGAACCTGAGCTCGGGGGTCTCTTGGCCTCCTCATGCCACCAGGAGTGGGGAAATGCACACTCACCTCTCTCCGTGACCATCTTTCTGTCTCCTCCTCCTCCCCCTAAGCCCCTGTCCTGCGGAGTGTGGCTGCAGCTTGTCACCCTTGCATCTTCTGAGGTCACCACAAGGGTGAGAGGAAAGCACACGGAGGCTGGCCACCAAACCCTGGGTCCCCACCCAGAGAGGCCTCGAGCTCTGGACACCCCCTTTCTAGTCCCACATCTACAAAGACTAAGAATCATCACATTCTGACACCATTTATAAAGACGCATGTAATTGTTCCTCCTGTTCTAGACAAAAGGAAATCAGACCAAACCTCCGCAGGCCCCACAACCAATGAAGCCAAAGGGCAAAGGGGTCATCGGCTGGCAAGCTCTCCCGAAGGTGCCAGGGGAAGAGTAGGCAGAAGCTGTCGTGGGGCACATGCCCAGTGATTCCAGACCAGCCACCAGGAAGGGAACCAGGATGGAAAGAACTCCCCGTGTGCCTGGTTACTCAGCGGCTTCCAGGACAAGCAGGTGGCATAAGGGAAGATGATGAAGTCGGGCAGAAAGCTGGGGTTTGTGGACAATAAACTAGGGATCAAATACTTATCAGAACTTCACACCTGCACTCATCAAACACTCTCTTAAAGAGGGATGGATTTCAACACTGAATAAATTCTTTGTAAAAATGAAACGAACTTCAGGGAGAATTCCTGGCATTTGCCAAGTCAGAAAAATCAGAAATGGACAAAAGATACTCTTTGTATTTATTAGAAAGATGAATAGAGGCACAGTAGCCAAGCACCCCAGGAACTAGATCCAAAAGCAAATATTTAATCAACTTTCAAAGGAGAAAGACAAAGCGCCAAAAGCAATGTTAACTTAGGGGTGAAGTTCATTTGTAAATTAGAATGGAAAAGTATGGAAGAACCCAAGCAGTGTCGCTTCCCCAACGGGAAAAGAGAAGCTTGGTGTAAAATGTGGCCATCCCAGATCCTCCTGGGTCTGTAAACATGACTAAGGAAGAAGAGACTAGCCAGGGAGCAGACGTGCTGCTGTTCGTGTAATGACGTTCTCAAAGAACCACTCCATTTGGACTGATGTTGTTGCAACCACCCAATAAATAATCTAAGTGGCAATGACAGTTAGGAGGACAAAGTTAGGGAGGGAACGCCTGGGAAGGAATTTCAGGCCAGAGAAGAAGGACGTGATTCTAAGTCACAGGAGGCGTCATCTCAGAGTGAGAAGGGGCCTCACAGGAATCTGGTAGAGCCCCATCTGAACAAGAGTCCTCGTTACAGGACCTCCCCTTGTTCCCCAACAAATCCAGTCTCCAGTGTGGGGAACTCTACCACTCCTCAAAACAGCTAATTCTACTCTCACTCAGATCAATTTAATTCTTGAGAAGTGCTTTCCAATATTAAGCCTAAACTGGTTTCTCTGTGCTTTCCAGCCACTGTTCCTAAACTCTTCAAATCCTAGGATACAGCCATCACACCCTTCCCCTGCCTACACTGCCCATGTCCTTCAGCCTGTCCTCATAAGGCATGATCCCTGGGTCCTTCTCCACCATGGTTTCCCTCCTCTGGATGGCCTTCCTAAAATGCCCCACACGGAACTTAAGAAACCTGCCAGGAGTGCTCCAACCGGGACAGAAGGCAGACTGACTACCCACTCCAACCTTCAGATGACTCACCGTCGCTGGCTACCACATCACACCATGGGTTCATTAATGAGCTGACATCTACTACATCTAACTGCTTGACCATGACTTCACATTGTGCCTGGGGCTCAAAAAAAAATCAACCCCCCTGAGAGGCTGCCTGGGTCCAATGCCAAAGGCAAAGCAAGACAGGTATTTCTGGCTGGTATTTTACATGATTCAGTTATACAGAGAAGCCAGTCGCTAGGTTTACTGGGAACATAAAATATGTGGAGAGGAACACAGTAAGCCTGAAAAGTCAAGCGGGAGGCAGACGGCAGAAGGTTTTAATGGCCCATCTGAAAACGGAGTCTTTCTGCCCGAGGCATTCAGGTGGGACTGTGCAGCAGGTGTCTGGAGCCTGGAGACTGGAGTTCAAGATAGGGAAGATTCAGATTATGGGGTCATCTGCCTGTGATAACTGACCTCGTGGAAGAAGGTAAGATTGCTGAGTAAAGTGTAGACAGCTCAGACAGAGCCTTGGAGGAAGCAGCCAGCCTTAGGGAAGAGTATTTTCAGACTAAATTCAAATTCCATCTCTGCACTAAATGTCACATTCTCTACCAACTAGCTGTGTATCCACAGGCCAGTAAATTAAGCCCAGTGAGACCCATGTTCTTATCTGTGAAATGGAACTAATCCTTACTACATTACCCACCTCACAAGGCTGTTTGTGAGGTGCAAATCAGACCATGAATGCAAAGTATACAGCAAACCTTAAATCACTGCATTAAGTGTTTTATCATTATTGATGATGCCTCGAGAGCCTACCACAATGCTCTGAACACGCAGAAATGATAAAGACGGGATGCCTGCTGAGCCTGAAAAAGCATCTGATTTGATGCACCAATATACAGCCTGAGAGGCTTTCTTCAACGGAGACAGGTCCCTGTGGCCCTTTCACAGTACAAAAGCCTCTGCTCCGGGCTGAGCTCGTTCCTAACGAGGGACCCACAAGTACAACAGACGGCCTTCAACACCAAGGAGCTTTCCGACCTCACCTGGGAGACAAGGTCAAGGACAGCCAAGCCACTTGGTGATGGAAGATGTCAATTGTGTTTTCAAGGCCAGAATCAAGAGTACCAATTAGACTGAGATCAGAAAGGGGGGAGGAGTGATGTGGTTACAACGAGCAAAAAAGAATTCACAGAGGGCTAGAATCTGAATGGGACTTGCAAGGAAACAGAGGCGCTTTTTTTAGATGAGCAAAAAACTGGGGGTAGCAGTGACTGTGCTGGCTATGGGAAGCAGAGGAGAGACTGGACGCAGAGCAGACAAGCCAAGGTAAGTGCTAGCTAAGAAATCCACTGAGATGTCCCAAAGCCATGGAGGGTCATGGACACCAACAGCAGCCTAAGGAGCCGGCATTTCACACAGCCGCCAAGAGCTGGTGGAGAGGCACGAAGGGGGGAGCCGTCATGACCGGGAGGGGAACAGAGGGAGGCAAAAAGGATCCACCTGGTTCATGGGTGACAGGAGGCAGTGCTTTTAACCACTCTAAACTGCCCCATCTTTGACACGATGTTCTCTCAGCTGTGTCACACACACACAAGAGTCTACTAAGGTCAGGGCAGCTAGGTGACACCACAGTACACACAGCACTGGGCGTTGGAATCAGGAAAACCCATCTTCCCAAGTTCAAATCCAGCCTCAGATGCTTCCCAGCTGCATGACCCTGCACAAGTCACTTAACCGTGTTTGCTCAGTTTTCTCATCTGTAAAATGAGCTAGAGAAGGAAATGGCAAGAAAATTCCAAATGGGGTCCCGGAGAGTAAGACATGGTTAAACAACAATAATTTTAAAGTCTGCAGGCTACCGGGTCGCATTCTCAACTGAGCCTTTCGGCAATTCGGAAGCCCGACAGGTATTATCCCGAGTCAGGGCACAAAGCTAAGAAGGGTCAGGGGTGGAACGTGAGGCCAGATCTTCCTGGCTCCAGGTGAAGTAGTCTCCTACAACACAAATTACTGAACATCACCATCTCAGGAGAATCAAAACAAGTAACTTAAAAGCTAATGAGAAGAAATGTCAGCATATTACACTTCTCCCACCAAAAAAATTCACACAGGGAATTTTTTTTTTTATTATATTTCCACCTCACCCAGACCATATTACCTGAAAAGAAGGTGGCCTGCTTCTGTACTAAGAATGGGGCAGGGCGCATGGGCACCTGAGATGCAGGGAATGATGGAAGGCCTCAAGAACCACGCAGAAGATGAGAAGGCATGAAGAATCTGTGGTTTATGTCAGTGAAAGACACCCATGCTGAGAAAACCACGGTTCTACCCAAGAGACATGGGGTCATCATTCCCTTGGAAATACTGCTCTACGTACTAGGAAAGAAGTTCGAGCCAAACGTAGAGCACAAACCCTTTGGCTCAGAGGATGACAGACACATTCCTCTACAGGAATCTGCCTTCCCTCTTCCGGAGCTCAAACTGGAGACAATGGCTACTGCAGCGACACGCAGCTAGGCTGAGACAGTCTGCCGGCCTCCAGATCTGGCAGGTGAAGGCAAGGGCCTCTTACTTCCCTTTCAAAGGAGGTTTACAGACGCAGAGAAGACATTTTCCTTCACTACAAATAAGCAACTTATCACTTAAGTGACCTAAAAATAGCCAAGTCTGGGGCAGGGAGGAATGCACAGAAAACAAAACCATGGCTTTTTGACAACGAGGGATGTTCAGGACACATGTGGCAAAAAATGAGAATAAACAACCTTGAATTAAGCTAAGAATTCAGTAAGATTCGGGATGGGGGAGCACCTGTACAAACAGAAGTAAGAAATAACAGTCACAGACAAAAACCTTACCTTCTGCAACACCCCAAGGATACTGCCTTCCTCGGACCCTTTTGCCATTAACTTCAATGATAGTATTGCTACCAACCACAGCAAGCGGTAAACGGTCCTATGAGACAAAAAAGGACTATTCAAACATGGCTCTATTGCCCTCAGAAAGACCAAAGTGACTTTCTTCCATGGGACGAACACTGAAGGAAGGACTCTCTGAGCAGCCTTTGCAATGGCCTTGATGGGTGCCTGAAACAGAAGGGAAGGGAGCACTGCCCCACTCTAATGAGAGCGCCCCCCCTCCACGGGGCCGCAGCACAGCCACCGCTGTGGCGGGGCTGGCCCCCAGGACCCAGGGTGGGGAGGGGCAGTCGCCTCAAACAATTCCATCACTGGAGGAGTCGTCCGCTCTAAAGATAGCTGGTCTGAACGGCACCGACGGAGTCAAGCGCAACAAAGGCAATTCAACCAGGACCAGTTTACATTTACACAATTCCTGTCTTCAACCAGCAATTCGGGAAACTAAAACATAATAAAGTGATGAAGTTAAACCACACTGAGGTGGAACAAGGCCCATAACCCTAAAGCAAAACCTCTCACATGTGGCAGTTTTCGTGGAAAAGCACCGGGGGCTCCTTCGTTACCCTTGGGCCTTCCCCGCTGGCCATCTGCTTCTCTAAGGCCTGGGTCAGGAACCAGGGCAGCCCCAGCACGCTGCCCGGACCTCCCAGCCCACCCCACCAGCTTCCCAAGATGCTCAGTGCACAGGGCGCGAGCAGCTGCCGCTCTACCACGTGCTGAGGCTCAAACACTGAAACGAGGACAACAACGTGCAGCCACGGGGGCACGTTCTGGCTATCCAGCAAGGAGAACGCCACCCAGGAAGAGCGGAAATGTAAAGAACCGACAGGACCACAAAGCTTTCAGGACCAAACTCCTCCAGAGTTTAAGAGAGAAAAAACCCCAGAAGCGTCAGAAATACAGGCCCCCATCCTGCCTCGCAAGCTTCAGTGAAGGAGGTCCAGAAATGCTGACCTTGTGACTCTCCCTGCAATTCTTTCTGGGCTTTAAGAAAAACATCGTAAAAACGAAACAAACAAAAACCTACTCACTCCAAACTCAACGATGGGATGTGAGAGCAGCCTTTAACCCTAAAGTGATTTTTGTTTCTTTAACCTGTCCCCAAAGACGTAGTCTGCAGAGGAACACAATCTGCCCCTCCCTGAAAACTTCTGAGCAACTGGTTAAAAAGAGAAAGCTTAATCTGGCGACAGAAAAAATAGCTGATGGAGATTTTTTCTAAGGGCCATAATATTTCAATATGCAGGCCAGAATGTCTTACCTTTATCTTTTTAACAAGCTTATTTTCTTCTTCATCATCTGTTTCTGGAAATTCATATATTTTAATTTTATGCTCCTGAATTTCTTTCATTATCTAAAACAAATTGAAATGAATAAAGCAGAATAAGACAACACAAGCCAAGGCAAGCCAACAATGCATTTAGTGTGATGTATCACATACATACATACATACATACATACATACATACATACATACATACGTCTCTATCATGTGAAAAGTGGCCAGTTAGGTGGCACTGTGGATAAAGTCTGAGGGCAGGAATTGGGAAGACCTGAGTTCAAATCCAGCCCTAGATACTTAATTGTGTGGCCCTGGGCAAGCCACTAAATCCTGTTTACCTCTGTTCTTTATCTGTGAAATGCGCTGGAGAAGGCAATGGCAAACCACTTCAGTATCTCTGCCAAGAAAACCTCAAATGGGGTCACAGAGAGTCAGACATGACTGAAATGACTCAACAACAGACCCTTCATTGGACAAAGGGTGTCCACAACCCCGAGGCGTCCTGGGCAAACGAGGACTGATGCTCCAACAATATTTTCTGGAGTCAAATACCTTGGGTAAAGGCCTACATTGAATGCACGTCACTATACTAAAAGGCAATTATTCTAGAACGGGCTCATAACCTAATAACGTAATTTATAACAAGATGATGCAGAACAAACACGTGAAGGCTTTGCCTCTAAATAGCGTTTCCATAAGCGAGAGTAGTACTTGTCTGGACCCTGGGACGGCCGGCCTGGGCGACTGAAGGCCCCCTCCAGCACGTCTTTGTGAGAGGAAATTCTAGCACTCAAGGATTCTACCCAACTGTGGGCTATATTCTAGACAATTAGCAAAGTCACCACTTTTTTAAAATGTGAAGCATGACAGAGCGTTTAAGATGAAGCCTTGGTGAGAGTGTCCATCTTCCAGCTTAGCTCACAGGTAAGCAAGCTGCCAGAGATGCTAGCAAGGCTCAGCGCCAACAGCAGTCAGCAAGGCCCGTTTTCTCTTCAGTTCTGAATGCCACTGGGTGGGTATGGGGCATTGGAGGGGCGGGAATTGCCTTTGGAAAGAAAAGGAGACAAGGACAAAAGGGATGGCACCTTCTAATAAAAAGGGCAAACGAGGGAAGAAGCTTCTTTGCACCAAAAAGCAGTTGGAGCAGACCCCTAAAACCTCAGGGGGCAAGTGAAGGCAGCCAGGAGCCAGTATAGCTTCATTAAGCACCTACTACGTGCCAGGCCCTGGGCTAAGTCTGTCCCTGCTCTCCAGGAGGGAGACAAGATGCACACATTTGTGGCCAATCTGAAATAATCCCCCAAGAGAGGGAACTAGAATTGGGGGGAAAAGGAAAGGCAAAGCATTTAAGGCCTGGGGGATCGATGCAGCTCCTGGTGGCAGCTGGGGAGATGGGAAGAGAGGAGTCAGCAGACCTAAGAAGCCAAACCCCCACCCCACCCCCACCACACACCTGCTTCTTGAACTGCTGGCATTCCTCAGGGGTCAGCGTATCCGCTTTGGCGATGAGGGGGATGACGTTCACCTTGTCATGCAAGCGCTTCATAAACTCGATGTCCAGTGGCTTCAGGCTGTAAGACATGACGGTCATGTGACTGCAAGGCCGCTTTCTCATGCTCCATTTGCTCGGACATGGCAGGGACACAAGTGACACCCACCACGAAATCACAAGAGGTTCAAAAAAAGAGTAAGAGATGCCACAAAGAGTCAGAGAAACAACCTCGCTGGTTATTCACTGGACTTTGTGAGACCCCAGAAGAAGGGCACGTCTGGCCTGGTACGCTCGGTGACTGCACAGCTGGACTCCCAGGAGGCAGGGGTACAGTCCAGCTACTAACAGCAGTGAGTGAGGGTACACATGAGAACACAACCACCTGCTGGGCAAACCTCCAGATCACCATCATCACTGAGAGGTGCTGAGAGGTGCCACGGGACACAGAGCTCAGGGCCTGGAGTCAGGAGGACCCAAGTTCAAATTTGGCCTGGTCATTTCACCCAATCTGCCTCCGTTTTCTCAACTATAAAACCGAGGGCACCTAGCCCACAAGGTGGTTATGAAGATTAAATGATATATTTGTAAAGCACTTAATGTAGTGCCCAGCACACAGTTGGCACTCTACACATGTTTAATCCCTATCACCACTCTCTTCTTACTGTTGCTGTTACTAAACTGAAGTAGTCTCAGGAATAGGAAAAGAGCACTTGTGATTGGCCAGGCTTCACTTGAGCTCAGAAGCACCAACCTACTTCGTGTTCCCTGCTAACAGCGGCTAAGAAGGTACCGGAGGAAAAGCCCAGCACATCGAGAATGATATCACAAATTCCATTTTTGCCTGAAATTTCTTATCTACTTATAGAAATTTTCAGAATATAGATTAAGCCTGCTGTAATGTATAAAATGAGATGGTTTTCACTTCCTTTCACTGAATTCAAAGTGGGAGAATGCTTATCAGCAACACTTGGTCTGATCCAAATAATATTCAAGGTATTCAGAAGAAGTTTTAGAATTAATTTCTTGAATTGTCATTGACTATCAAATACCACAGAGGCATCTGAGGAAAACCAGACCACATGTAGTGCTTATGGCAATTCTAATTGAGTGTATGTCATGGTATTTTCAGAAAATAAGATAATATCACACAGTACTAACTATAGAGAGATTTCACCCCCCAGAGAATGCTGTGGAAAATGGCAAGTAGGGAGAAAAAGTAACTCCATCTGCTTGGCTGCTAAATGCAGACTAACCTCAATAAATACAAACTAGCTGCGTCACGAGCAGAGCACTCTCTCTCTGCCCCCTTCCTGGGACAGGAAGTCATTCCCAATGGAAACAAAGAAATCTGGAGTTTCCCACCAGGCACCAGAACCAAGCTTCAGACTCTCAGCATCAGAAAGCTGAGAGAGACTGTGTGCCACCTCTATTCCTCCTCAGAGGGCTCCCATTTGTTTCTACTCAGCACCATTTTGATTCGAGAACTTTAAAAAATTCTACCATGTAATTTGAGGCACAAAGGGATGTGCCCCACAACCAATATTTAATGAAGCAAAACAAACATTCATTCCCTCAGCATCCAAAAGAGAATGTGGCCACATTGCGTCTTATCAGAGATAGTGATTTATGGTTATTACCCAAGCAGACTTTCAGGCCAGTTGCTAAAACACTCACAAACCCATGAAGACAAAGAAAAAACAAACAAACAGAAGGATGAAGGTACTAACCCATGTCCCGAAGGGGCAATGAAGTACAAGCAACACTGCACCCTGTTGTCTGGCATCTGCCGTCTGTTCACCCGAGATTCTGCGTTCAGATAATCCTCAAATTTACTGTCAATGTAGTCAATCACAGGCTGCCAACTAAAGAAAGCATGAAGAGAAATAAAACCATGAGAATGAGTTCTATTTCCACTGCATATCCGAGTGAGTGTGTGTGCAAATGTGTGGACAGCTGATGTCTCCTCTCCTCCAAGATAAAAAGCATGCAAATCATTTAAATGGCCATTTCTCCCTTAAACAGGTAAGCTGACAATGTATACCACACAATTACTCTCCCAGTGCAGGTGAGCTGAAATCACACAAAGGCACAAAAATGAATTCCACTTTGAACAGAGCATTAACTAACTTTTATTAAGTACCTACTATGTGCCAGACGCTGTGCCAAGATCTAGGGATAAAAAGAAAGGCTCTTAAGGTGCCTGTAATCTAGTGGAGGAGGCAGAGAGCAAACAAATATATACAAATGGGCTCTATACATGCAGGACAAATAGGGAATAATAAACAGAGAGAGGGCTCTGGAATTAAGAAGAGCTGGGGAAGGCTTCCTGTAGAAGATGGGATTTGAGCTGGGACATAAAGGAAGCCAAGGAGGTCAGTAGTCAGAGCATTCTAGGCCTGGGGGACGGCCAGAGAGAAGCTGGAAGGCCAACGTTACTGGATCAGGGTGTAGGGAGCCTGAAAAGGCAGGAGAGGGGAAAACAGGAATTTCTATTTAATCCTGAAATGAGGAAACAAGGAGGGGAGGGGAGAACTGAATTTTAGAAGATCACTGACAGCTAAGTGGAGGACACATTGATGTGGGGAGAGACTCATGGCACAAAGAGAGCCCTCAGCCGCTACCGCAACAGTCCAGCTGTGAGGTGATGAGGGCCTGCACCAGGAGATGGGCACACACAAGGGATGCTGGGAAGAGACAATTAGCAGGACGTTGGCAACAGACTGCGCGTGAGCCGTGAAAAAGGGAGGAGTCAAGGATGACACCAAGGTTGTGAGCTGGAGTGACTAGGAAGATGGCGGTACCCTCAACAGTAATAAGGAAGATAAGAAGCGGGCCTCAGTGGGGGAGTTCTGTTTTGGACAGGCTGGGGCTAAGATGGGTTTGAGGCATCCAATAGGGAGCTGGAGAGGCAAGACCAAAGGTCAAGAGAGAAGCTGGGGCTGATAAGTAGATAACTGAATCCGTGGGAACTGACGAGATCACCCAGCGAAACAGTACAGGGGGAGCCAAGAGGAGCGCCCAAGAAAAGCCCACTGGGACACAGGGCAGCACTTGTGACTGAGATGAAGACCCTGCAAAGAAGAATGGGCAGGGGGTGGTCAAACACCCAGCAGGCGAACCAGGAGAGAGCAATGTCACCAAAACCTAGAGAAGAAGGTGATCAACCATCCAAGGCTGCAGAGAGGTCAAAAGGATGAGGACTGAGAAAAGGCCACTGGATTTGGTAACTGTGGAAAGAGAAGTTCTGGTTGAATGATGTGGTGAGTGAGCCAGGACGTGAAAGAATGGCCTCGCAACAGTGAAGTCTGAGGTTTAGAAACAAATTGGGAATGAATCCAGGCAGAATATGCGTAGCGGTAAAGGCAGTGGAGAGGGGGCATAATTCAAGGATGAGCAGGAAAGACTGGAGATACATCGAGGGGGCAAAGAGAGCACGGTAAGGACGAAGGACAACATAATCAGATAAGGGGATTGCAGAGTTCCTGAACGTGAAAGTGGAGAAGCTGGAGCTGATGGCAAGATCGAGGGTATGGCTGTTCCTATGGATAGCTGAGGTGGGGTGAAGGTGCAGTAGGTCCCGTGGAAAGGTCAAGGAGCTGGGAGGTGAGGGTGTTTGAGGGAGGAGCAACGTAGGTAAGGAAGAGAAGGTCTCTGGAGGCTGGAGGTGATAGAGAGGAACTGTACAAATCTCAAAGGTGGAAAGGCTGTGAAGCCAAAGTGGTGAAGAAAGAACCTGGAAGTGGTGAAGGAGGGCATGAAGTAGTCAAGCTCCCTCAGTGAGATCAATGAGTGAAAGTGCAGCCTGTGCTAGAAAGGGAGGCTGGGGGCTGGGTCAACAGGAGGGAGCCAGGCATGTATGAGAATCAGAAAACGGACAGCGGCGAAGGAAAAGGCTGAAGAAGAAAACTGGTTTGTTGTCTATGGAGCGGGCCCCCAGAGGGCCCTTGGAAGGAGAGGGTGGCTTCGAAGCAGAATACTAGGGGTGAGGGGGGGCAGGAAGGGCCAAGGACCGGGGCTTGAATAATGAACAATGAGCTCAGAATCTCTGGGACGGGGAGGACATGCCAAGGAGGGGCCTCTTAACTAGTGAGGGATGAGTTTTCACAAAGAAGGTCAGGTTAGCTGAACCATGGAGTGTGTAGAGGAAAATAACATATGCAGGCAGAAAAGGAAGACTGCAGTAGATTAGGAAGAGTTACATTTGAGCCTAGTGGTAACAGGGAGGCACCGGAAGTGCCCGGCACATCAGAGGTGCTTAATAAATGTTTATCAAATAAAAGATTCTTACTTTTAGGAAAAGCACTTTAATGGCCACGTGGGAGAAGTTTCAGAGCACACAAGGAGCCGGATGCTCTAGGGTAGTGGCTGTCTGAGTGAAGGAAGGTGATGGATGAGAAACGTGTGTCATGGAAACGAAAAGGCCAGGATGTGGCGCCTGACAAGAAGGGTGGGAATGGAGGAGGAGAAATCGGGATGGCGCCAAGGTTTTCAAATCTGAATTACAGAACAAACGGAGAATGGCCTTGGCCAAATTAGACAATTCAGAAGATCAGAGTTCAAGGGAGAGATTAAGGTTGGATATGTATAATTGAGAATCATCTGCAGAGACATGGGAGCTGATGTCACAACATGAGAGCACGTAGACAGAAAAGTGGGCCCAGGACACAGCCGAGGGTGACAGCCATAATCAGAATGGAAGAAAAAGCTCGTCCAGGAGAGCATGGTCAACAATGCCAATTGGTGCAGAGAGGTCAAGAAGGAGGCCTGAGAAGCTGTTACATCTGGCAATTAAGGGATGACTTGGTAACTTTGGAAACAGTCATTTCAGCTGAGCAATAACACCAGAAAACAGAATGAGATGGCCGAAAAGTGAACGACAAGAAACAGAGGCAGTAAGTGCAGACAATTCTCCCCCCTAGGAATCTGGCCGAGAAAGGAAGGAGTGAGAGATGACGATAGCTTGAGGGGACGGTAGTGCTAAATCATGACTGACAGAAAGGGAAATACCAGTGCACAATACAAAAGGAGAAAAAGCAATATAGAATAAAAAAGTGAGGGGAAATGAGTTTCTGAGACACCTGACAAAGCACGAAACGTGGAGTCAAAGAGCACGCTTACCAATTACTGTTGTCCACTGCATCACCAAATCCGGGAGTATCCACTATTGTGAGCAGTAACTGGACACCACCTTCTTTGATTAAGACTTTGGCTTGTTCCACCTGAAAGATCCAATAGTTTAAAGACTTTTTAAATAATTTATGTATTTATTTTTAGTTTTTGACATTCCCTTCCATAAGATTTTGAGTTTTAAATTTTCTCTCCCTCCCTCCCTCCCCAAAACGGTAGGTAATCTGATAATTCAAAGACTGATAAATACTGAATCGATAACTGTTAGACCGATGTGTAACTTGAAGTCAACGTGTCCTTCAGGGCGCTAGAGGACAAGCGGAAGCAGCCCCGGTAAGGAGAAGTCGCCAAGAACAAGGAAAGGTCAACAACAAGGGCCTCCCAGCTATGCTGCTTTCTATACAGCTGCTGAATAATGGAACAGGATGAGTCCGGGCCCAGGGAGGGCCAGCTCCTGGAGCAAGCCTAACAGCAAGGTGACCATCTGCCAGAAACTGGAGAGGGAAAGAGCCCTCCTGACTTGGGGCCAGACTGGGGCTATGCTGTGCCTAAGATCTGAACAGAGTCTCTATTAGGATTCCTCTGATCCCTCCACAGACCACCCTAGTCCAGAAGAGTGTGTTCAGCCATCATGCACTCAGTGTCATGGGTTACAACTGGAGGTAGCAGGCGCTATCCTTGGGGTCTGGAGGCCAGACCTTGGATGTCACTGACACAGTACTGTAATACTCGGGGAGGACTCCTTCCTACCTGCAAGTTATCCAGTTACTAGGATAATGAGAAGTGAAGTGACGTGCCCAGGGTCACAACTCAAGTGTGAGAAGCAGGGCTTTCCTGATTCCCAAGTCCAGTCCATCCCTCTCTGCCTTTCATTTCCATTGTATAGAAGAAAAAACTGAGGATCACTTAAGCTGAATTCACATTTCTGGAAACAAATGCCTACGGAAAAACAGAAGCTCCATATCCAGATGACTGTCATTCCGTGAAGCGCATGCCCCTAAATCGTCCTGGCTGAACTTGATCCAGATTCCCTCCCTCCACAAGATGCTCACAAGCTTGGAACGTCCTGCAATCTCGATAAATTCGTCTTCTTATTTAGCCATCCAAACCCCAGCTCTCTGCCCTTGGAAACGCATCATTGCGGTCATTAAAACCACAAGGGATCGAAGGATGCCTGGCCCAGCAAAACCTTGGCCAGGGCAACTCAAATGTGTTTTTAAATAATTTGTACAGAAAGAAACTGGTCCTTCCCCTCTCCAGTCCCCCTGACACTGCCTCCCCCTCTTCTCTCCTGACCCAAACCCAACTGTTACTGAAACACACTGAGGAGAGATAAAGAACCTGACCAGAAGGTGTCACTGTCCCCGAGGACCCAGGAGAGCCTCACAGCCCAGGACTTGGCTAGAGAGGCAGCCTCCATCAAGAAGAACAGGAGCCAGGCTCCATCTCTGACACTGTCACATACAACCCAGAACACATCACTTACTCTCCCTCTGTGTGCCCCAAGGAAAACCTCGAAAACAATAAATTAGGGAGGAGCTGCCCATCAGCCCTGCTGGAAAGACTTTTGCCCACCCCAAAATTCCCCACATGAACAAAATCAAAGAAAACTGGGTCTACAGAAAGAGCACGAGCACTAGGCTTGGGGCTGAAGGAAGAGTGCTGGCTCTTATAATGTGGGCCCTATGGCCTTGGGCAGGTCATTTCCCTCTCAGTTGCCTCCTCTGTAAAACGGGGGATGCATAACAATGCCCGTAACTCCCTACTCTCACAAAGTTACTATAAACTGTCATCAAGTACCAGAGAAAAGGGAGGTGGTACATTTCAAGTGTAACATAGCTACACTCATTAGCTGATGGGGGTAGGAGGAACATAGCAGTTCTTTTTCATATCAAAAACTGGTTTTAGAAAACTAGTTTCTGGTATAACCTGAGATTACATTACCTCCTTCCAAGCTGATAAACCTAGGCATAGGATAGATCTATGTTGTTGTCAAGGAAACCACTGAATGAAAATTACTAGCTAGCATAAGATAATGACTCAGGTATCAAAATTGAGACTCAGTTAGGTTCTTTCTCCAGTTGGAAGATTGTTATATTATCATCATCATCACCATCGTCATCATCACCAACATTGCTAGCATTTACATAGCATCTACTATATGCCAAATATTGTGCTCAGTGCTTTACAACTGTTATCTCATTTGACCTCACAACCCTGGAGGGAGCTATTATCATCCTCCACTTTACAGATGAGGAAACTGAGCCAAAGGGTCCCACAGCTAGTAGGTATCTGAGGCTACATCTGAGCTCAGCTCTTCCTGACTCCAGGGCTAGTAACCTGTCCACTCTGCCACCTAGCTGCTCCTACTCCCAACCTGAGCGAGTCTCTGTTCTACCCCTTTTGTTCTGAGGGTTAAAGTTTATCTGGCATAAAAGACAAGGGCTTGAGGGTCAGTTCTACCACTCGTTAGCTGGAGACCTGGAAAAAACATCACTCCCTCTGAGCCTCAGCTAGTCAGAAATGTGTGTGGAAACCCACTATCCTCTCCATGAAAAAAAGTCTCCAAGCAAATCCTGAAAGGCCCTTTCCGACAGCGCCCAACCACTCATTATATGTCAGGGCCCCTCCAGCTCTCTTCTAACCCACAGCATCCCAGGGCCTCCTGAGTCCAGTTCCAAATGAAGACATCGCTTGCAGCTCAAGCTACTTATATCACATAGGGCGGGGATGAATAAAGTATCCTAACAGGTCACGTCCCATAGAAATGTGACTATCAGTGACAGTTAAAGAAAAATAAAGGGGGCAGCCAGGTGGCGCAGTGGATAGAGCACCGGCCCTGAAGTCAAGAGGACCTGAGTTCAAATCTGACCTCAGACCAAACACTTGACACTTACCCAATTGCCTAAAATAATAAAATAAAGAATAAATAAATATATAAATAAAAATAAATGAATAAATAGATAAAAATAAGAAGAGGCCCTATTTATGAACCCAAATCAGTCTGTCAGTCAGTAAACATTTATAAAGTGCCTACTGTATGCTTAAAAGCTGGGGATACAAAAGGTGGAAATAGACAATCCCAATCCTTACCCTCAAGGAGCTTATCATCTAATGGAGGAGAGAGACAATCTGCAAACAAACATTTACAAAGCAAACTATGTACAGGGTAAATAGGAGATAACTAACAGAGAGAAAGCCCTGGAATGAAGAGGGGTTGAGGAGGGCTATTCGTAGAAGGTGGGACTTAAGGGGGGGGGGGAGAAAGCGTTAATAGGGAGAGCATACCAGGCAGGGGGACAGTCAGAGACAATGCCCAGAGCAGAGACATGGGGGAGGGCAGGTGCACGCCCCGGGTGTCTTGTTCATGGAGCAGCCAAGAGGCCAGGGTCACTGGATGGAAGAGGATGCTGGGAAATGAGGTCTAAGAAGACTGAAGAGGTAGGATGGGGAGAGATTATAAAGGGCTCTGAACGCCAAACCGAGCATTTTGTATTTGCTTTGGTTTTTTGGGGGGTTTTTGTGTTTTGTTTTGTTTTGTTTTGTTTTTTTTTGGCTAGGCAATGGGGTTAAGTCACAGAGCTAGTAAATGTTATGTGTCTGAGGACGGATTTGAACTCAAGTCCTCCTGAATCCAGGGCCGGTGCTCTATCCACTGTGCCACCTAGCTGCCCCTGTATTTGCTCTGACAGACTAACTGAAGCCACTGGAGTCTAGGTGGCTGAACGGAGGATGGCCTAGAGTGGGAAGAGACAGGGAGGCAGGCAGACCCCCAGCAGCTATCAAAATAATCTAGGTGTGAGGTGAGGAGGGTCTGCACCAGGGTGGGTAAGTATCAGAGAGAAGGGGACATATTGGAGAGATGCCCCGGAGGTAAAATCAGCAGGCTGTGACAGCAGATTGGACACAGTGGGGTGAGAGAGTGAGAGGTCCAGGTTGACTCCTGTAGATTTTGAGCCTAACGGCCTGGGAGGATACTGCTGTCCTCTACAACAATGGGCAGCAGCAGAGACACGGTTAGGGGGAAAGATAACAAAATTCAGTTCTGGGCATGCTGAGTTTAAAATGTAAAGCAAATGTTTTGCTTTCTTTAAATCTTACTCTAAAATGAACTTTAATGTTAATCAGTTATTATGTTTAAAACCTGTTTAAAAGGGGTAGGTTTTTTTCTTATTGTAACAGGGGATTAAGTGAGAAATTCAGGGTATTTGTGACTACAACTGAGGCCAAGGCCCTGGAAGTGCTGACCGTGGCAGGTGACCCTAATTCCATATGAACGACTCCCAGACTCAGCCTCGCCAAGTAACAGTAACATCATCTCTGGCCCCAAGCAAAACTCAGTCCAGCTGTTATTAGCTTTTTAACCACATCCCAAGCCTCACTGTGGAAGACAGCTGCTGCCATGCCCAGGAAAGATCCCTCAATCAGCGGTGACTGCCACAATCCAGGGTCCAATCAGCAAGTTCAAGTAACAAGTTTCTTCTCTCCACGCACTCTGCCTTTACAGAAATCAAGTGACAAATAATCAAACCGAAAACAAAGACTGATTCCTCACCACCCTGTGGGGAGGGGAGAATATCAGTTCCAGGACAGGCCATATTCAGTCCCAGAACCTTCTCTACTGTACAGCAACTGATTCCTGAACAACAAAGACCAGGCCTAAGCTACACAGTAAAAAAGATGATGCTCCCATGATTACAACTGAACTCCTTGAAAACTGAATGGAAATGGTAAGAAAGGAAATTCCATTTGCCAGACTATTCCATGAGAACTTATTTTCCCCAGGAACACTAAAAGCAAGCTTATTCTCTCTCTAAGATGTGACCAAAGCCCACTTCTCTTGGCATCAAGGCACACAACGGCCGTCCCCAGGACTGCGTGCGTGCCATGCGCTAAGACACTCTTAGGAGATCCGCAGCTCAAATGTTTCAAACCCAGCTCAACCATGACAGAGACACAATCCCCAAGACCGACTGACAGAACCAGCCCGCTGTGAAAACTGAGGGTCAGTATGTAAAGTTCTTCCAGTAGTCTACTTACAGAGTTTCTTTTTATCTATAGTTTACAGAACTGCGTGTCCATACATGGTCAAATACAAATGCTTACAACGTCTGGAGGAGATCCAGAACACCGAACTGTAAACCCAACACATTCACAGAGTCCAACTGTATCCTATCATCCGGTTTTACAAGCATTCTCGTGGGATTCATGGAAAACAAATTGGTTCAAGTGCAGGAATTTCAAACTTTTAAGAAATCTCCTCCAAATGGCCATTTTCCCATGCACTTTACTGCAGGGGGTCATGTTAGAATATTTTTTATGGGACTACCCTGAGTCCTCCAAGATTAATGAAGAATATTCAGAATCTTCACTTTTCTTAAAAACAAGTATGACTCAAGTGCCATTAAAGTATTTACATAACTCAATTTATTGAGGCCAATATTCTGGTCTCTTGGCCTAGCCCCTTCATCTGCTTCATAAGCTGACTAAAAAAAACTCATTTTTAAAAACCTTGGCCCAATAATATTGTTAAGCTTAAAACCAAAAATAATCCAATGGTCTGAAGAATTCCAACATGTAACACTAACAATAACATGGATTTACTGAGTGCCAGGCACCATGCTAAGCATGTCACAAATAGTATCACACTTGATCTTCACCACCACCCTGGAAGTAGAGATGTTATTATCCCCATTTTACAGATGAAGAAACAGAGGCAAACAGAGGCTCGGTGCCTTGCCCAGGCTCACAAAGCTAGTAGAAAGTCTGAGGCAGGCTTTGAACTTAGGTCTTCCTGATTCTAGGCATGGCTCTCTATCCACCGTCCTGCCCAGATGCTCCAGTTAAATGGTCAGCATTTAAAGCCCACCAGAGCACACTTCCCAGTTCACAGCCAAGACAGCATTTGCACGGGACCAACAGACAGCAGCAAACTATTCACCTCTGTATAGTTTGTCAGTAAATAATATGCATTCAAAAGCAGTGATACAATATTCTGTCTGCAAAAACAAGGTTTGAGAACATCTGTGCATTGAGTATTTCTTAACCCCACCTAGAAATCTAGAGATTTGCCATATATAATTTCTTACTTAAAACTTTTAGGTACAATAGAAAAAATGTTTGCATTGTACTTGACAGGATTCTTTAAATGTGGTTAATCAACCCAGCCCTGCAATAGCTTTGAGAAAATATCATGATGCCAACCTGCCCATGAACTCGAACCCCATGCTGCCCCCAGACATGGGGGCTGGAATTCCTTTACACCCTTTTGGATCAAAAAGCTTGAAAAGAAAAAGGAAAGGCATGCAAACCTGTCAGAACAACCTGGACCAGAGCTAAGTGGAAAAGGGCACTTACTGGCAAAGAGGACCTCCAGCCCAAGACTCCTAGTCAGCAAAGTCACTGAGAGGGAGGACTGTGGTGGAGGGGGCCAGGAGCAGCCTTCATTTCAAAGGAGCCATCACTTAGCTTGGTTACTCGACTCTATGGGAAAGAGCTGCCTCAGCTGGAAAATGAGGAGATGAACATGCTCCCAACAAGAACCCTTGAGCACCTTGGAATGACTTTTATGTTCATGACCAGCAACCACAAGCCTTCCCCTCTTCCCCACAGCTGGGGGTGCCGGGATCACTGCCCTTAGATGAAGGGGCGCTTTAAGAAAGCATGTGGAATGATGCACGGCATAAACATGCCTGGAGATCAAAAGGAGTAAGACAACCCACATTTTAGCACTTCCTGGTCACTACAAAAAAAAAACAAGTAAATAGCTCCCCTAATTTTCCTACTTGAATGAATAAATGAGAAAACAATTTATTAAAGCTTACTCTCTGCAAAGCTCTGCATCGGGAGCACAAATGTTAAAGTGAGCCTGGCCCTGCTCTCGAGGGGCCCCTCCCTGTAACAGGAGAGACAACATCTGGGGAAGGTCCCAGGCCCCTGAGGGGGCAGCCGCAGGGCCATTCCCCACTGAGAGAGTCACGGCAGTGCCTGATGTGGAGCCTGGCCTAGAGAGGGCCTGGGACTCTGGTGACCAGGGCTTCCTTTTCCCTGCAGCCCCTGCAGGAGCAGGGCCCAGGCTGCATCTCCCTGGGGGCGCTGGGTGGGAAGCCTGGTTCTTCCCAAAGCTCCTGGGCTCAGGGTCCTGGGCTGTCTCCACTGGGGTCTGAGGGACTTGGGGGTCCAGGGGGTACTGGTACACTGACTGGGCCCTCACCATTACAACATTATTTACTCCTCCATTAGAGTCTTATTCTGATCTCCTCATGGCATGGAAGTGACCTTGGGTTCTCAAAGACCACAAGTAGCAGGCTCCCCCTCCCTAAAAATGCATCTAGCACAGACGAGAAATGTCTTGTCTACTCCCTGCAGCTCAGGGTCAGACCACATTTTCAGACATCACTAAACTGACCAAAAGGAGGACGAAATTTTTGGCCACAGCAGTTCCCAATGACTAAGGCAAAAAAGGGGCTGCAACTTGTCTTAGGAATATGGACAAATCACAAATTTCTGAATTATGAAATACCATTTATCAATCATACAAGCAAACGTTCTAAGTCTTGGCCTCAATTTTTGGTTACTGAAACAATAAGCCCCCACATGCTGCTCTACAGAAAAGATGAGGCACCATGCTGTTTTCAGGAAGCAACACTGGGATGCACAAAATGTTGCTCTTATCAGCTGAGCTGCCTGGCTTAATGTCCTTGGAAGCAATTTTTCCCCCTTAACATTGCTTCTGACCAAAGGCTGTGACTCCACTCGTTCTGCTCGACTCCAGAAAAAAGGACTAGGAGCAAAGGGTAGAAGACGGCAAAACGTGGCCCTGATTTAAAGGATTAAATGTCCCAAATGAAAGCGAATCAAAAGTCTTCTAGCAAAAGCTGCCTGACAACTCAGCGGGCTTCTCATTCAAATGTGGGCTGGACAAGGAAGGAGGAAAGGACATGGAAGGAAAGAGGGGGACGGTATTTTCTGATCTCCTCGAGAATCCAAGCAGGACTCTCAAGTCCCTATCTAGAGATGTCCCACGTAACAAGATCGTTTTTCATCACAAAAACAAAGACAAATTCTGGTGAGTCCCATGTGAACCATTTAAGATCAAGATTGAATTCTGATGAGAAGGTAACATTTTCACCAGATAAAAGCAAAGAGAAGGGCAAGCCAACAGCTTTACTTGCATTTGTTTGCAAAAAAAAAAATGCCTGATAGGAAGCTGAGATAATTCAAATATTAAGAAAATTCCCAAAATTACTTTATGAAAGAAATTTTGCCCAGTGAGTGCATTTGGGTGTTTCCAAGTTCCTAGACCCCAGAGAGGTTGCCAGGCACTTTCACAGTTCTGTGACAATTCAAGAGTGTCATGAACCCTTTCACAGGCAAATGAAACCCAGGTAACCTTTCTCAGAACGCTTTTAAATGAATAAAAAAAATTCACAGGATCACAACCAATTATGCTGAAATATTTATCTAATATTAAAAAACAAAGCCAAGTTCACAGACTTCAAGCCTGCTATACAGGAACTGTGTGTCAGCCACACACAGCATTAGATAGGCTATTTCCTGGATCACTGATCAATAAGCTTCCAGCCCAAGAGCAAGTGGAGCTATTCAGAATGAATCGATGTCCTTAGAGAATGCAGGCAGTGTCTCTGGTTGAGGCATGACGCTGAAAATTGCTTTCAAATTTCATTCCTGACATTTCACTACAAAATGCAAGTCAACTGGTGACTTTCCTTTCTAATAAATAATTCTCTAGATGGGACCAGAGGACTAGGGAGCTGATTAGAAAGGAAATATGGTCAGAAGTCATCAAGTGTTCAATGACTCAATTACTTGGTTAGACATCAATTAACAGACTAGCCCCACTCTGCCCAGGTAGCAACCACAGCAGGTAAGGAAGAGTACGATCCTTGAACATGCAAAATAAAACATTTCTCTGTGACAATAGTTTCTAGCTTTCCACAAGTTGGGCTATTTGCAGGTAAAAAGAAATCAAGTGCGTGTACCTGTACGGTCTTTTTAATTCTATGTGAGGGACCAGGGTACTCTGAAGAATACAAGTCTGTTAGGAATAATGAGTTGATTAACGTTGACTTCCCCAATCCAGATTCTCCTACAAGAAAACAAAAGGCATTATTAGTCCCTTTACTATCACATGACACAAACACACCCCTACCCTGACCATCCAATGAGATCCCCTCATAGGCCCCCCACATCTGCAGCAGGTCCACCACGAGAAGAGCATAAATTGCAGCAAAGCTCCAGGATGCATAGCCAGCTACGTATTCCAATGTGAAACATGAAAAGGATTTAGAGAGTGGAAAGTGGCTCCAAATGCTCAAGACGGTCCCTCCCATACAGCCAGTCTATCATTCCCTCTTGAGATGAGACTTATTCACTTGTCTGGATAACTATAAAGGGGGTAGGGAGGATGCTAAAAATGGCACTGTTTTAAGACCATCTGTAAACTAAATATGAGCTCTTGGGGCACACTTTGGCCACACTGCTGGAGGAGCTGCCCAGGAATTTGGACATTCCTGTTCTAACAAGAGCAGAAGATACAGCTCAAAGAAGGAGGGCTGCCAGGTACTTGCTGGAAAAGTAAAGCAAAGAGGTGGCAGAGTTGATCTCCCCATACAACCAAAAGTAATGGACATTTCACAGGACGACTGGCCTACGTGCCAGGGACTGTGCTAAGCACTGGGGATACTAAGAGAACGGCATCTGCCCTCAAGGAGTTCCATATGAAAATGACACTGTTAGGTCCGACAAAGGCTAAGCTGGAGGCGATCCCAGAGAAGGCACTCCCATTAAGGGGGCCCAAGGAGACTAAAAGATGAAGTGAAGGCCAGATCTGGGCTGAGCAGAGTTTACAGATTATGGAAACCCAGGTGAAGGAAAAGATGGAAACTCTGCCTCCTGGCCACAAACAAAATAACTCCAGACTGCTTCAAAGACAACAGCAATAAGGCTGATCAGGAACCTCAGAAGAGACATAACACACGGATCTCCCCTGTCGTCCCCTCCTTGCTCTCTATCACCCCTGAAGACGTGGCCTTTGTTCTCGCCACAGGACCCCCAGCCCAGCTGGTCTTCTCGGATCGCCGTCTCTGCTATCAACCCACTGTCTCAGTTTTAGTTTCTTCTTGTCTGTTACTGGCGGCTTCCCTTCTCTGTCCCAACATGTCCATGGCTTCTCCATCTTCACAAACACTCAACCACTCAGGGCAGCCCCACTTCCTACGCTCTCACTCTCCTCCCTCTGTGCTCCGCCTCCCGACCTCTCTCCAACATCACCGATGGTCTCGTACTTGTGTTTTCTCAGTCCTGTCTACCCTGACACCTCTGCAGCCTCCCACTGATTATCAGCCTCTTCTCACTCCTGGTCTTCCTATATCCCTGTCTGGCTGCTGCTTCCAGACTCCTTTGCTGGATCTTTATCTAGCTCATGCCAACTAACTGTGGTCACCCCCCAAGGCTCTGTACTGGTCACTCTTCTGCCTCTCTATCTAGCTCATGACCCATAAATTCAATTATCTTAATAATAATAGCTAATGTTTATGTAGGGCCTACTATGTGCCAGGCACTGTTGTTAAGTGCTTCACGTATATTACTTCACTTATCCTCACAACCACCCTGTTGAGGTAGGTGCCATTATTAGCTCCATTTTACAAATGAGGAAACTGGAGCAAACAGAGGTTGAGTGACTTGCTCAGAGTCTCACAGCTAGAAAGTGTCTGAGGCTGAGTTTGTACTCAGGTCTTGCGTCCAAGTCCAGCACTCTATCCACTGGGCCACCAGGTTGTTACCTCAATGTTATAACTAGCCTGGGAATCAGGAGATGTATTTTCTGGTATTACTCTCTACCCCTACCTAGTTAAGTGAGCAATCAGGAAAGCTCGCCAAAATTTTCTGTGCCTCAATTTTCTCAACTATAAAATGTGGAAAGTTAGATCATATAACATCCAAGGTCCCTTTCAGCCTCTGTCCCCTCAGAGACAAAGCCAGGCCTTGCTTTTACCCTTCAAGTTTGTATTTTTAATACCGACATTTCCTAAGACCACACAATGTTCAAAGGAACCAAAAACCCTCAGAGAGGAGGATGAACATCCTGCCATTTTACAGATAGAGCAAGTGAGGCCAGAGGTACTAAAGAATTTGTCCAATCACCACCAGAACGATGAGCCAACCTTTTCCTGGACCACAGCTTCAAAGTACCTGCTATTCCTACATGCTCTGTTTTCTACAGAAGTAGCTGGCATGCGAACGGCTAGTTTTAATAACTAACAAATAGGAAAAGCTCAATTTTAGATAAATACCTGAAAATTTTTGTTCAAGGTAAATCAGGTTGTCACAAATGAGTTTAAATAGGAAAAGCAGACTTTTAAAAACCCATGAAAATTACTAAGCAATAAACATTTGTTTTAAAGATGAGTCATAGAAAGAATAATAAAAAACAATTCCAATTATTCTCTCTACATTGTGAAAGAGTATTTTTTTTACCCGAACAAGTATAAAGCACTCTTCAAAAGAAATCCTCCCAACATGCCATTTCACTGAAAACATTCAGAATTTGGTTCAGCTTATTACTTTCTGGCCTATAGCAAGGTGAATAAAATTACAGGAAGTTTTCACCTTGAACCCAAAGTATTTTATAATGAAAGTGAGTCAAGAGAAACTTCTCATTTAAAAGGGCACTGAATAGATATGGGAACTGAGGCCGAGACGTTAAGTAACTTGTCCGACAGAAGGTGCTTCTGTCTCTCTCCCAGGGCTAGGAGCGGTGTTTGGTTCTATCTCCCAATAAGGATGGGCTCCAGGAGGGCATGAACAGCCTCCCCTAAACTATGCATCTCTGCCAGCACTGGGCCAAGTATTCCACACACAGTAAGATTTGTTGAATGAGAAATCAAGGCCCAGCTCAAACTTAATCTCATCCACAATGCCTTCTAAAATCTCCCCAAGAGGAACTGATTGTTCCCTCCTTTAAATAACTTACAGGAAAAAATACATGCCCCAAAAAACCCACTTATTTATACATTTGGGTTTTAATTCTTTTCACATATTTGTTTTCTCTTTATATACTTTAAATGCTGATCCAAGTATCTTGTATATGGAAGGAGCTTCCTAAACACTGACTCATCATTCCAGCGAACAGTATTTTGTGAAAGTCTCATCAACAGCCAGATGTAGCATCAGCAACACCTTGCATTTCAAACTTTGACAGTGATTAATGCAAAATGGTCAAAACGTGGCCCCCTTCCTTATCAGGACAATTAGGCACCTATCCATCTAATCCAACAAGCATTTTTAAGCACCTACAGAGTGCAAGGGACTGAACTAGGTGCTGGGACACAAAGACAAAACATAAAACAGCCTGCTCTTCTCAAGGAGTTGGGGGTGAAGGGTGGGGTGGGGGAGAGCAGAGAGAGATACAACATTGACAAAAGTTGCTGCTGAGTGGTTTCAATCACACTTGACTCTCTGTGACCCCATCGTGGATTTCTTGGCAAAGATACTGGAATAGTTGGCTATTTCCTTCTCCAGCTCATTTTACGGATGAAAAACTGAGACAAACAGGGTGAAGTGACTTTTCCAGGGTCACACACAGCTAGGAAGTGTCTGAGGCCCAGATCTGGACTCATGGCCCAGCTCTACATCCACTGTGCCAGAAAAAGAGGCATCATGCTATACAGTGTTCTTTCCATCTCGAAATAAACATAACAAAAAGAGAGATCAGGAAAAGCTCCCAATAAGAGACTCAGGCCTGGAGCTGAGCCTTCAGAGCAGACAGGAATTTAAGAGGTGAGGGAGGCATTCATTACAGGCATGGAGGCCCAGGTCGGAGAGAATCGGCAAGCTGAGGAAGCAGTGTGTCATCTGCCTGTAAGACAGACAAGAGAAGACAAGGGGCCTAGGATGGGGGAAGGAGGCTCCACAGCCCAAATGATCCTATAGGAAGTCATCTGTTGTTCTTAATCAGGGCAGTGAAAGGGTCCAGCCTCTGACCTTAGAAAGATCCCATAGCTTTAAGGAAAGATGAATGGGAGAAGGGAGACCCAAACCCAAGGTCCATCCAATCTGGGAGGTCCAGGAGCAAGGGCCTGCCCCAGGCTTGGCATTCCTGAATGTGGAGGTTAACACTGCAGTGGGGGCTGAATGGAATATGGATTGCTTTATTGAGCTGGAAAGGGGGAAAGCTAGGAGTCTGAAACTAAGCCCTCAGGGCAGGCCAGGGGCCTCAAAGAGGGAAGGCTGGATGTGAGCAAGCAAATAATGAAAAGAGCACTAATCATCTCACTCTACTGAGCTTCCATCTCTTCTGCAAAAGATAAGGGCCTAATTAAGGAGGGTGACTTTGGGTTAGTCACCTGGCCCTTCTACAGACTACAAACTGGAAAGATGTTTAGAAAGCACCACTCAAAGGGACCTATACCAGAGATTCCAAAGAGACAGTGTGGCCTAGGGGATAAAATGCTAGGCCTAGAATCAGAAAGACTCAGGTTCAAATTCCACCTTCCAGATTTTATTAGCTGTGTTATCAAGGCCAAGTCAGTTAACCTCTGTGAATATGAACTGAGTAGGCTGGGAGCGCAAAACATCGTAAAGAACCAGGGGCTGGAGGCAGGGACCAGAATTCAAATTCAGCCTTAGACACTAGCTGGGTGACCCTGGGCAAACCCCCTTGGCTTCTCTGAGTCTCAGTTTCCTCAACTGTAAAATGGGGATAATAAATAGCACCTATCTCCCAGGGCTGTTTTGATTGGTGTTTGTAAGCCCTTAGCATAGGGCCTGGCACACAGTAAGTGCTAAATAAATGTTTGTTCCCTTCCCTCCTCTGAATCATATTCAAACTAAATGAACTGACACAATGCACACAACTTCCCAAAAGCCATTTAAATGATTTTCTTAAAAGTTCCTATGGTCAACCCAATATAATTTTATGAGAGGTGGTGCTTCATTATTTAAATTTAAATTTTTACAGGAAAGTGCTCATCAAAGGATTCTATGAAAGAGAAGACAGGCTAGTCACAAAATGCAAGCAGTCCAGAGAACCCTAACCCTAACCCTAATTGCGCTTTGGGCAGATGGGGCACCCCCCCAACTCCCCTGAGAGAAAACCCTTCAAATGACATGGATGAGGGTAGCACGAAACAGGCAGCCACAGATGGGTGTCTTCTGCATCAACGGCACTGCTTGAGGAAAGGGTTGACTGGCTGGCTGGTTTTGTTCTGTTTTAAAAACAGGAGCCTGCAATCTCTCCTGTATCGATGGGGATGATTATCCATGGCTACAGAGAGCTCCAGCAGCTGCTCTAGACCACTTTTAAACAAGTTTCACCATCCAGAACATGCTGTACAAAACCCATCCTGATCTTTAAATGGTGGACAACATTTGAAAGCAGTCCCAGTTTTAAAGGCAGCTCGGGCTTCTCTTCTGGACTTGGCCTTGTTCCTTCCCAGTCCACTACTGAGAGGATAATGAAGAAAGGGAAGAGAAGAGCCTGGCTTCACACTTGTGGCCAGCCAGCCCCCTTCTGCTGCAGACCCTCAAACCAGACCCCTGGCACCCACTGCCCATCGGGGTGCCCACTGACGGCCCTTATCACTCTCTGCATGGGACATCTACCAATACGATGCGCTGAGGCGGGGCTGTCAGTGAGACTGGTGGGGTGCCTTGCCCCTAGCAGAGACAGAATGGAACCGCAGGGATTTTGCACACATGGTGACAGGGCTCAGGGCTCCAGAACAGCCCCTGTTCCCGCCAGCTAGAGGGGGCTCAGATGGATCGTGGGCAATCCTCCATGGTAGCACATGTGCTTTACAAATTCAGGGCCTGACCCTTGAGATCACCTCCTCAGTGCCCAAAGGCCTTGAACAGCAATTTCTTTACCTTTTTGTCCTCACCCTTCCCCCCAAACTCCCTCCTCACTGATAAATTTCTTGACTAGAATGTTTTCCTCTTAACATTAGAAGAAACACTGTGAAGGGATTTCTATATTTATTATATTTAAGTCTAAGTTGAGCAGCTCAAAGAGTAGGGAGAGAAAGAGAACAAGCATTTATTAAGCACCTACAAGGTGCCAGGCACATAGGTGACTTAAAATCTTACCTACTACCATAAGCGTGAATTCAAACCCTCTCTTCACAGATTTTCTGTACACTTGATTTGGGAGATTCGCAAATCCCACGTAGCCTTCAAGGTTCTTCTGTTGCTGTTTGTTGTTTTGTTTTTTAAAGGAAAGGGAATAAAATTAGTCATTAAAAAAATACTAATGCTATACATTTCTAATCCCCTTCCTTAAAGTGATTTTTGAAAATTATATAACAAATCATTATTCACAGCAAATCACACCAGCTTTTCATATCAAATGTTGGAGGTTAAAAAAAAGCACTTATTCGAAAACAGCACCAAAAGGCATGATGGATTGGGTTTCAGACAGCTCACTGGAAATGTTACAGCAGTAAGTAATTGTCTATAAACAACCGGAGGGGGGTGAGGGAGGAATGACAACAAAATTAAAGAGACCTAGCTCAGACCAATGATTTCACCTCACAAGCCCTGAAGGTTAGTAACAATAAGATTTCGAATGAACAAAAAGCAAGCTGCTAGAATTGTTCACAAAAATTTTTAAATCTGTTTAGAATGATTTTTCTGCTCCTTTAATTATACAGTAACTTGGCTCACAATGGCCCACTCCCCCACTGGGTACTTTTCTTGAAATTTAGCCTAGTCATGAAGGGAAATCAAAGCACTGAGTTCTTAACAATTGTTCCCCATAAAACTGTGCCGGTTTTCACAGCCAATGGCAAGTTAGCAGCCCTGGTGAGCAGCTATGCTGGGGCACTGGCTTCAGGCTGATGAAGATTCTGTGGCCGTCATCTTCAGGGAAATCAAATTTAGCCAAGCTGCAAAACCAATTTTATCTCAACTTGTTAAAAATCTTCAATCATCTCAAGTGGGAACTCCTAAAGGGTTATAAAAATAAATGCGATCTTTCACTTAGCCAGCAGCAATAAGTTTTCATCCTGGAGGCTTAAAAACGACATCACAGTGGTTAGCTTTAAGCTTTAAAGTCTTAATGACTGTATCTCACCAACTTACTAACATACTGCTGCAATGATGAGAAAACATGAACTACATTTGCATTTTAAAAGTTCGTGTCAATGGGACCCTTAAAATTGCCTTGCTATTATTCTACTCAGGATCAACATGGGAAAATCCTAATTTCAAACCCATTACCACTTTTCTTTTACTGCTGTAAAGGCCCTTTTTTCCTTGCAAAATTCACTAACAAACTTTATGTCTAAATTTTTTCTCTAGTCAACATTAAATGTCAATTCTGAAATATTCTCAGTTTTAGCTGTTGAATAATCTATAATAAATATGGTGTGTGTCTATTATGCACAGAGCATGAAACTGCATTTAAAATTTATCCTCAGCTCAATTTTCCAACAAAATTTTACTTTTTAATTTATGACTTAAGTTGGGAAAGGAGAAAATCAGTTGTTTTTATGACTAAAAAGTCACAGAGGATACTCACAGCTACTTTGTAGAGAATATATTTCCATCATTCCAGTGTTCCAAATAGCAACAGAGTATTTCCACGAAGGCATGGTAAAATGAGGAATTCCAAGAATGGTATGTTGCAAAGTCAGGCCAAGAAGTGTAATCCAATGGAACAAAGCAAAAAGAGGGGGAAAAACGAAAGTTACTTACGTGTAGTGAACAAATCATTTAAACTCAAAATTATTTCAGTAAATTAACAAAATAAACCACAATTTTGTCAAACATGGCATCTTAATACTTCTCTACTGTCAACAAAAGCATAAAACACTGATTTTCATTTACTCTTTAAACTCTGGCACAAAAAAGTTGATTTATTTTACAAGGGACCCAAACCTTTTTTCTTTTTAAATGGTGAGTAGCTACCCTACTTTTTCACTGCTCTCATTGGTAAAGGGAAGTAGGGGAATGCATCAAAAGCATATGAAGTTACATTATACATTTTAAGCTCGTAGAATATTCAAGGAATAGTTACCGGCACCCCACCCCCAGACAAACAAAGCACAGACACTTTTATAATCACTGGATTAGACTTTGCAGGATCAGATAAATCCAGAAACTGGGGCTAAATTCACGAATGGGAATAAAGATAATGGGAGTTAGAAACTTAAAATAGTGAAGATAAAAGTAAGCAAAGTTAAAGGCAGTTTATGAGATATAAAATTGAAAAGAATTAACAGTAATAGAATAAGAAAGATGAAAGGCAGTTTGAAGTATAAAACAAGAGTTAACAGAATAAGAAAAGAAAGTAAACAACTTTGGGCAAATCACTGATGAAAGGTTTCTATTCTGACTGTATCAGTCAATCACAGATACATAATTTTTTATTTTTTTTAGCTAGGCAAAGGGGTTAAGTGACTTGCCCAGGGTCACACAGCTAGTAAGTGTTATGTGTCTGAGGCCGAATTTGAACTCAGGTCCTCCTGAATCCAGGGCCGGTGCTCTATCTGCTGCACCACCTACCTGCCCCTTCGATAACATAATTTTTAAAATGGGAATCTACAACTTTCTTATATTAGGTGGACAGTAAAATCCCTTTGATTTAATACAGAATTACTATCAATATGGGGGTAAGACCTGGACTCGGGGTTTCATTGATAGGAAAATTAATTCCCTTGACCAGTTGGCACCATCTTCTCTGCAACTGAGAGGCTAAGAGGGATGCTGGGCCAGGACCACATGGCCAGTATGCAAAAAGGCAGAATGCAAACTCATATCCTTGGCTATAAGACAAGATACACTACACACTACCATTACACTACACAAGATACCACTACACACTACTACACATTAGGCATTTTGACTTAGAAAACCACAAATTAATATTGTGTTTTATCGTAGGGTAGCTAGGTTCAAATCCAGCCTCAGGCACTTACTAGCTGTGTGACCCTAGCTAGGCAAGTCCCTTTACCCCATTAGCCTCAGTTCCTCATTTGTAAAATGAGCAGAAGGAAATGGCAAACCACTCCAGTATCTTTGCCAAGAAAACCCCAAATGGGATCACAGAGAGCCAGACATGTTTAAAACAAATCAACCACAATAACAAAAATTTTTTTATTCTATTTCTGTTGTTCAACATTTGCTGATGACTCTTAAATCTACTTATCAGCCCTAATCTCTCTGCCGGCACCCAGGATCCCCTCTCCAGTTCCCTACTGCACATCTCGAACTGCAGCACGCCCCAACTTCAACGTTTCCAAAATTAAACTCAATATACCCTGCCCCAAACCTATCAATATATACACATCTAGGAAGGGAAAGCCTTCCCCAACCCCTCTTAATTCTAGCACCTTCCTTAATTATTTCTTATTTACCCTGTATATGGATTGTATGTTTGTCTCTCCCATTAGACTCTGAGTTCCCTGAGGGCAGGAATTGTCTTTTGCCTCTTTTTGTATGCCCACCATTTAGCACAGTGCCTGGCATACAGTAGGCACTTAATTAATGTTTATTGATTGATCTGTCTTAAGATTTGACCAGCTAAGCTTCGAGAAGTTTGACTGACCACGAGGAGAGAGCAGCATACCAAGTCAGGAAGGCTAATCTACTAAGATATGGACAGGCAGGGAATTTGGTGGACAAAGTCCCCACACCCAAAGGAACACTGGTCATTTTTAAATACTACAATAGTATTCAATCTTATTATTATACACACATGTGTTAAAGGCATATAACTAAAGTTAAAATGTCACATGCGATAAGCTTTCCAGATCTATACCCAACCAGCAATACAGACATCAGAGAAAACTCAAAATGTCAACAAGTCTTCAGGATCTACAACGTACCCATCTGTGCCTGCTCAATGTGCCCGCCCTACGTCATCTGAATGCAAGAGACGGCACGACACACAAAGATGCCCGGCATGTTTTTGTGCTTTACTGTAAACATTGAAAACAGTAGCTTGTTCATGACAATGTACTCTCCATAAAGTACAATTTTTTTTTCCCCAAGCTGGCCAGTACATAAAACGAGTTGAACAAGACTTTTTCACCATCCAGAAACCATATAATATCTCAACATGCACAAAACATAAAGTAGGAGTTATAAAGAAAGGTCTTTTTTTTTTTAATGAAAACAGAATTGTACTATAGGTTCTGGAGTCTGATGCGTTTTGGCCACAAAAAAAGCCTCTCACATTTGAGTGTATAATCAGAACATAAACACTCTTCTACATTAGAAAAAAATTCCCAACTACCTCAATTTCTGACACCAATAAGGTGAGACTTCAGAGCATATGAAAGTCCATTGATTCATCACCACGTAAATTTTGCCAGTGTCCCATAACTGCGACAAATAGTTTAGAATTTGTGGGTAAAATCAATGAATAAATGTTTATTAGGTGCTTATCTCACTCAGCTAATCCTCAGCCCTGGCCACCCCACTCCTCTTCTCATCTGCCCCAGAGGCTGGACAAAGTCAGGTGAAGGCTTTCCTGGATCCATCCCCAAACACAGACTCACCTTAACTGAGGTCTTCATCACTTCAAGTTAATTCCCCTATCCAGACTGATTTGCATGAAGCAGCTCGGTGGGAGTCTTCAAGTCTCCAACTCTGCCCCACCCCCCCCCAACTCACAGACGATGACCTCACTTGCTAATTTATTGAAAAGACCAAACCAAGATGACTTCACAAACAAGACTTGAAGTCAACCATCTCAACCAAACTAGTCAGGCATTATAAACCACAGGACCACAGGATGTCAGGCAGTCTCTAGTCCAATTCCCCTCGAGCTGACAGATAAGGAGAAATTCAGTGACTTACCCAGGGTCAATTGGGTTGGCTCTGAACCCAATTTCTGATTCCATATGTCATGGCTATTTAAGAGAAAACTGTTTTGCCCATGAGAATTCAAATTCCTTGAGGACAAGGCTGCTTTGACTTTCTACAGATCCCCAGCACTCAGCATTCACTTAATAAATGCTTACTGAAGTTTGGCCCAAAGAAGAAATCTGACAAGATCCCCACCTTACTCACCTACACAGATGAGTGGGGGTTGGGAGAGATGCCCTCCCATAGGTGTGGACCACTGCATATTATGTCAGATTTTTTCAACCTATTTATTAGTTTTGCTGACTTTTTTTCTTTCTCTTTTTCTATTTAAAAAAAAAAATCTGTTCTAAAAATGCTCTAACTCATTATGGATTAGAGAAATGCAAATTAAACAACTCTGAGGCACCACATCACATTCATCAGATTGGCTAATACGATAAAGAGGAAAGTGATAAGTGCTGGAGAAGATGGGGGAAAATTGGAATACTAATGCATTACTGGTGGAATCATCAACTGATCCAACCATTCTGGAGGGCAGCTTGGAACTATGCCCAAAGTCTACAAAACTGTGCATAATCGTTTGATCCAGCAATACTACTACTAGGTCTATCCCAAAGAGATCATAAAAAAGGGAAAAGGAGCCACATATACAAAAATATTTATAGCAGCTCTTTCTGTAGTGGCAAAAGAATTGGAAATTAAGGGGATGCTCATCAATTGGGGAATGGCTGAACAAGTTGTGGTATATGAATGTAATGGAATACTATTGTTCCATAAGAAATAATGAGCAGGCAGACTTCAGAAAAACTTGGAAAGACTTACATGAATTGATGCTGAGTTAAGTGGGCAGAACCAGGAGAAATACACAGTAATAGCAACATTATGCGAAGATCAACTCTGATATTATCGACTTAGTTCTCAGCAATGCAAGGATGTCTAAGACAATTCCAAAAGACTCATAATGGAAAATACTGTCCACATGCAGAAAAAGAACCATGGAGTCTGAATGCAGATTGAAGCATACTATTTTCTTTTTTCTTTCTCATGGTTTTTCCCTTTTGTTCTGATTCTTCTTTCGTAACATGACTAATATGGAAATATGTTTAATATGATTATATATGTATAACCAACCTATCAGACTGCTTGTTGTCTTGGGGAGGGGGAAAAATTTAGAACTCAAAATCTTATAAAAGTAAATGCTAAAAACAAAAAATGAATATATAAATAAATTTAATTTTTAAAAAAATCTGCTGTAAAGGAGGGAAAGGAAGGAATATGAGGGAAATTTAGGTGATGTTAATCATTCAGCAAATATTAAGTAAAAACAAGATGTTAATAAAAATCTATTAAAATGCTTGCTGATTGATATACCACTGATTGATATATTCTCTCAAAGAATATCTAGTCTAACATGACCAACAATCCCTTCTACTTAAAGAATTTCAATAAAGGGGAACCCACTAGCTTCTCTCCAAGGTAGCACATTCCAGCTTTAGACAAGTTCCAAATAAAAGGACGTTTTCTCATAACTTCAATCCTAACTGTACCTATCTCTCACTACCTTACCAAGTCCTGTACCTTGGGCAAAGAGAAATCACATCCTTCTTCACCAAGCTAGTGCTTCAAATATTGGTCTCCCTTCTATATCTGTCTCCTGTCTTCTATTCTCCCTGCTAAACATCCCCAGCTCCTTTAACCAATCCCTCTCCCTC